GGAACCGGACCGAAATGCACAAATTGGGACGTTGGGACGTGCGAGTATAATAATGCTGTAAAGAAATTAAAAAAAAAAAAAAAAACAAAAAGCAATACATACCTGAGTGGTAAAACGAACCACAATGACCTGTGTGAACCGCCTAATCTCTCTAGTTGAGCTTCAAAAAGCAATTCAGGAAGACTCGAAAGAAAGAGTGACGGAAGTACAAGAACGTTTGAGGCTCCGAGCGTTTACTCTAAGAGTGGCCGAGGAAGAAGGTTGGAATGTGGCAGCAAAAATCCCAAAACCAATACCTAGTGAAGGTGACGAATTTAAGGATTTGTTAGTTGAGGCAAGGAAACAAGCAAAACCAAAGGAAGAGTACTCCACACCATATAATCGAAGGACTTGGCAAACGAAAGGGTGAAAATCTTGGGGTTGGGGTGCAAGAGCAAATTATTATACACCCTACCCCCCACCACAGCCATATTCCATTTATCCGCCACCTCCGCAGACTTACCAGAACCAGAGTGTGTTCCCGAACCGGGCCCATCTTATCAAAATTCATTCGACAGGGCATCAAGTAAGCAGTTTACCTGCTATTATTGTGGGGGTGCAGGCCATGCGGCGGCAGTTTGCCCCTCGAGATCTGCAAAAAGCAAGGGAAATGGGTTTTTTCGGAACAAGGATAATAATGAAAGTAGGTGACTACACTTGGGAGAAGGAAAATGGGAGAGAAAGCAAGGAGTTAAGAACAATGGACAATATAGAGCAAAGCAGGGAAGTTGTTGGAAGGATTCACGAACCGGCAGCAGTAAGGTACTGGTTGGAAAAAATAAACCCACCGCCCGTAGTAGCCTGTTGGCTGAAAAACCAGATACCCTTATTCCCAAGAAACGTATGGAGCCTTGTAGAAAGCAAGGTCCCAAAACCTTACAGATTGACGATGGATCAGGAAGAGTGGGTGGAAAAGGAGGTTGGTCGGTTGGAAAAAGTGGGCGCAATAGAGAGGGTGGGCTCGACGATATTCTGCCCGACGTCGCTTTTGGAAGTATCTCCGGTCTTCTTGGTGCCCAAACCGGGACCAAAACGTTTTCGCCTGGTAATAGATTTAAGAAGGTTAAACAAGCAGTTGCCAGAAAAATCATTCCAGTTCGAAGGATTGGGTGGCCTAATAAGGTCGATAGGGAAAAATTGGTTTATAATTACGCTGGATTTAAGAGACGGTTACCACCACGTGATGATGGACAAGGAAGCTCGGCGCTTTCTCGGGTTTCGTGTAGGAAAGACTTGGTATCAGTACCGGGTATTGCCGTTCGGCCTTTCGCAGGCCGTGTGGATTTTCTTGAAGATAATACGGGCACTGATTGCCCATTGGAGAGCAAAAGGTATTGCCTCAGGGTCGCATGTGGACGATATATGGATAGCGCACCCTTCGGCAGAGGTATTGGAAAAAATCCGGGACGAGATTATTTTACCGGACTTGGAGAATTGTGGCTTCGTCTTGGCCTGGGACAAGAGCAGCCCAATACCGTCAAGAAGGATAAAGTTCTATGGGCTACTTGTAGACACAGTAAAAGCGCGGGTGATCGTACCGGAGCCAAGTTGAAGGAAATAAAGACGTCTCTGGGGTCACTAACAGATGTAGACTGGGTAATAGCCAGACAGTTAGCAAGAATCACAGGAAAGATCTAAAGCCTTGCCAGGGCCTTCGCCCCAACACAGGTAAAATGTTTGGAATTTTACTCCCTTATAGACACAGCAAACAGGCGGGTCTGGGAATGGAACCAGAAAATTTGGTTGTCAGAACAAGCGAAAGCGGACTTGCACTGGTTGTTGGAAAATTTGGAAACATACAACGGCGCCCGGCCTGGAGACCATCGATGATAAAGACTCTTTTCGTAGATGCCTTGACGACTGGATGGTGTGCAAGGTTAGAAGGGTTGCGGCATTTGGAAATTGGGTAGAAAAGTTGGATTGCCGAGAGATCGCGAAGTTGGAAGCCGAATCGGTCCTATTGGGACTCGAAAGTTTTGCAAACCTACTGAAGGGACATTGGGTTTTAGTATTCATAGACAATCGCACCGCTCTGGCAACAATGAAGTTAGGGGAGAAAAATTGGTAGCAAAAGGAAGCCTACAGAAGGCTATGCCAAATTTGCTTGGAAAAGGACATTTGGATTTACGAGTTAAAATGGGTGCCATCAGCAAAGAATCCGGCGGATCTTTGGACGCGGGCCTTCGATTCATCAGACTGGTACGTCAGGGAGGAAGTGTTCCAAGAGATAGAGGGGACCTTCAGACCACACTCGATCGATCGGATAGCATCCCATATGAATACGAAATTACAAAGGTTCAACAGCTACCATTTTTGTCCAGGAGCGGAGGCCATAAATTGCTTTACCCAAAGGTGGGAGAACGAGGTGAATTACGTGTGCCCGCCCCTGCATCTGGTACAGAAAGCACTCTACCATGTGAAGAGCTGCAAGGCAAGGACCACATTAGTAATCCCGGAGTGGCCGTCAGCTGAGTGGTGGCCCCTACTTCTGGAATTAAGTTGGGAAGCCTGAAGCGAGAGTCACATTTGCGCCGGGTCCGTCGGGGTTTGTAGAACCTTGGAGGAACCTGAAATGGAAGTTTTGGGCGGTGCACATTTGGCCATGAAAGAATTGGCCCGGAAGGCAAAAGTACTAGCAAAGGAGTCTGTGTCCCCGTTTTATAAAGCCACATCCGAGAAGTATTGGAGAATTTACGAAAAATTTTGTAAGAGGTTCCATGTGGATGTGGAGGACCCACAAGAGGATGATGTTCTGGCATTCATTATGTGGGTGGATATAATGGGGCTGGCGTCTCAAGCCCCCAGGATTCTCCAGATAATCATAAATAACCTACGTTTAAAAGGGAAGGAAGACCTTAGGAAATCGTTAGTAGTAGCGCAGGTTTTAAGAGCGATGAAAAAGGAAGCTTCAAAGAATAAGACACCGGATTGGCCACGTGACCCACTGCCGGTTGCAGCATTAAGATATTACGTGGATGTACCACCACCCAGAGCAAATGGATCTATGCATAGAAGGGACGTTGCATTAGTAGCGTTAGGACTAAGAACAATGCGAAGGCCGAGAGAAATAGGAGAATTGATCATGAAGGATATAAAGTGGGACGATGAAGGAACCCTGTGGGTTCGAATCTGTAAATCGAAGACCGATCAGTTCAGAAACGGCAAATTTATCCCAGTGGAAATATGAACTCAAGGTATTGCCCGGTGAGGCTTTTAAAACGATACCTGGAAATTCGGCCGGTGACAAGCCTAGGAGCACCTTTGTTCCTGTCGAAACAGGGGAAGAAAGTCTCGGTGTTAGCAATTGGTGCAATAGTAAGGCGGTTTGCTGATCACGCAGAGTTAAATGGCAGATTCACGGCGCACTCCTTGAGAATTGGTGGGGCAACAGCAGCAATGACGGCGGGAATAAGCCTCACACAGATTTGGGCGATTGGAGGCTGGGATTCAAAGGCAGTAATGCTATACTTGAGGACAGTCGCAACGGCAAAGATTGGAATTTCAGACCGCATGGGTTTTTAAAAAAAAAAAAAAAAAGAAAAGAGGGGGAGAAAGAGAAACGGAATAATAGAGCACGCAGCCAGGATAAATGAAAATAATAAGGCACGCAGCCTAAAATAAATGTAAATAATGGGGCACATAGCCCCAAAAAGGTGTATAAATGAGTAAAAAAAAAAAAAAAAAGAAGAGTAGATGAAAAGGAAATGATATAATCGGGCACGCAGCCCTAATAAACTGATAAATTGAGGCCTAAACGAACGTAGATTTTTTTTTTTTTTTTTATATAAAAGAAGGCACGTAGCCCGAATTAGAAGACAAATGGAAACCAAAAAAAAAAAAAATTAAGGCACATGACCTGGCCATATCGAGTAGCATGTGTACTAATAAACGGGGCATAGGAAGGCCGAAGAATTCCTTGTATGATCCTCGCCAACAATCCCATACTGTACTTCGTAGTAAGCACGGATATATTGTTGGCCATGGAAATCGTTCGTTCAGCAGAAGGAATGGGTTCCATGACGAACAATAATAATGACCCGCTTGTGAACGAAGTCACAAGGCGGGACATTATTGTGAGTCACTGGACCGTCAGGTGATGGTAGATCATGAGGTTGGGTCTGACTGTATTTGTATTTGAGTAACTTGATGATCTGTCGATTTCCTTGTTCTTGAATTTTCTGCTCAACATTGTGTCTAGCTACGGCCCCCCCAACCACACCCGAGCATAGGTTTTAAATTTCCGAAAGTACACGATGCTCGCAAACTCTGCTCACGTGACTTCAGATGGCTTGTTCTGCAACCTTATCCCATACTGTACTTTGTAGTAAGCACGGATGTATTGTTGGCCATGGAAATCGTTCGTTCAGCAGAAGGAATGGGTTCCATGACGAACAATAATAATAGATATTCAATAGATTTCGGGTCACATCGCTATTGATTTTATTGTTCTATTAACACCAATAGAAAATTTATTACCAACTTAATAGAATTTTTAATAAAATCAATAGAACCAATAGAAATTTTATTCTTTTATGACAACACTTTTGTGAAAATTCAGTAAATTAAGAGATTAAATCATATAACTTATATTTCAACCAAAAATTGCATCAAATAGCACCCTGCCCAGCTTATGAAGTTACTAATTTGATTCACATTACTATGTCGGTTAATATAATAGATATTTCACGGTTCCTATGCCTGTGATTAAAATTTTTGTGATATTTTCACGGCATTACATAATCATAAAAATATCATCAGAAATGTTCACGGGAGAACATTAGGGCCGTGGGATATAAATAAAAATAAAATAAACATACGTAATGATTTCGAAAAAAATGTAAATTGTAATACACGTATAAACAGCCAATGTTTTTAACATCTGACCTACATTAAGTGTTACTAATAGAAGATTTAATTGTTATCCTTGAAAAGATAATATCCATACTAAATTTAGACTCTTTATCATAAACAATCAGAAAAAGTTTGGAAATTAATCTGAAACTTTACGAATAGCAATTATCAATCAAAATCTTCGATAAATAACTTTCTTATTTAATCAATAACTATAGTCAACTTTATTAGGTAAGGACTCTTTTACTCGTCTTTTTTATTTTGATTAGTGTTAGAAATTCTTATAAAATAAGTTGAACTCTTGTACAGTAAGTTATATTCACTTTCAAATATGTTCCATAAGTATTGTAAAGAGAAAAAACTTTATTTATTTTATGCTTTCTGTAACCTACTAAAGAATCATATTTATTCATTATTTCAAAAATAAAATTATATAGCCACAAATCTTGATGTTAAATTTCCTTTAGTTAATTAACAACTTCAGCCAAAAAAAATTTCCAATTCAAGCAAAAAAATTAAAAAAGTTCATTATGAACGCAGTCGACGGGAAAATGAAAGTGAAATACTTAAGGAAATTGCAAATAATTTGCCTATCCTAATGAATATAAAAAGAAGAATACCGAAAATAGATATTTTGAAGTATACACTTGAATATATTAAAAATTCTAAACAAGAAATGCAAAGAGTTCAAAACGAAATTAAAATGCTACATAATGTTAATTTATTTTATAACAAATATGGATTTAATTTTAATACTAATAGTCAGCTTTCATCTTACTATTAAATTAAGTTTACAAATTAAACTTCATTTAAGCGAATTCAATTTCATGTAGCAATGATAAGATTTATTTTTTGTCAAGACACTGAAGTTGATTTCATGGGCACCCTTATAAATGCTAGCAATTTGACGTCCATATCGTACTATTTTAAAATAAATTTATTTGTTGTAAAATTGATTAATATTATTTATATAAAAATAAAATTTGAAAAAACAATACAGTAAATAAGTTGTATTAATAAATTCGTTAAAGTTGACTCTCTCTTATACAATACAATGTAGATAGGGTTCTGCAAGTGCGGTATGGCAACTTGCTGAATCCTAATTCTAGATTCTGTAATTAAGATAGCAATTAGTAAATCGAAATTATAAGATTTTATTTTTATTGTGGGAAATGAAATTAAAAGGTTGCGGAATCCCAAAATCCATTCTCTTGATGTTATACCTATTTTTTTTTCTATAAAAAATTAGGAAT